TTCAGCACTAATTGAAAGTGATTTCCCTCTTGGGTTTGTTGAAAGGGAGGACATCACCTGGAAAGCTAACCAGAAAATCCACTGCTTGTTTGTCTTGGCACCAGAGCCTGGAAGCCGGAGGCCTCTGGCGTCTGCTGCTACCGGCGGCCCAGTCGCGGCTTCGGGCTTCTCCCGGTGCCAGGCGCTGCCCGGCACAATCCACTCGGACAGGCCGGCTCTCTGGACTGGAGGGGCTCGTCTTCGCGGATCCAGGGACTCCTTGGGAAGAGGGTTTCTACCGGTAGCCAGTTCAGGAGCGAGATTTGCCGGAAGGATACGAAGCGGCGGCAGCAGTGAATATCCCCCTGGCATATGCGGCGCGTTGAGATCCCCTTTCGAGCCCCTCCCGTTGCCAGCAGCTGTTCCTGGGGGCGAAGAAAGGAGAGAAACGCCAGCCAGCCACCCTCCCTTCCACCAGGCCTCTGCACCCAGACCTGGCTCCCTCCCCCCACCTTTTATGTTTGGGAGCCCAAAACGTTGTCTGATGAATGCATCTTCCTTCCCTCAAAATCTTCGAAGCAGGACCCAGCTGCTATGTAAGGCTGACACTTTCCCTAACCGGATTCTGATTATCTTCACGGCCCTTTCTTTCACCATTTTTGCTCAACATTAAATCATGTCTACCCAAAGTCACACCGAATTCTGCCCACGAACTAGAATCCGCAGGAAGGCATTCGAGTCGCCCCCCCCCCCGCCCACCGCAAGCTTCGGAACATCTCGAATTCCAGAAGTCCTAAAAGCCCCGGTATGGTGTGTCTCTCTCTCCCCTTCCTCGTGGTTTCTCGAACAGGAGCCAGTCAGCGCCTTTCTCCAGGCGGGATCTCCGCTCCGGGTCTGTGGGGCTCGCCTGCTGGCTGGTTGTTGTTTGTTGCAGGAGGACCCTGTGCGGAATGTCCTTCTAGCAGCTGTTGACAAGGCGACCGCCTCTTCAGAGGATGGCTGTTCCCTCCCTGGTCGGTTGCCAAAGCTGTCAGAACGGGACCCCTGGCCGGAAGTTTTCATCCCAGGACCGGACCCATCTCTTAAGGCTCCTTCAGGTTGAGGCAGTGGCATCCAACCAGGGCGTGTGTTTTGTGGCCCACAGGGATACAGGGTTTAATTTCTAAACACGAAAGTACTGCTGAAGCTCAAGCCGACCTAGGCCACCACCTCCTTTCGACCTAGTTGCTCTACTGGCCAGATCAAGCCCCCAGGCATGATCTGGCCAGACCAAAGGTGATGGGGGTGGGGGGTGGGCAGAGAGCTCGCGTGTCTGCCTTTGATTTTCGGAAGAGAGAGGGGAGGGCAAAGCAAACTAGGAGCCGTTGACGCACCCTAGTCTGAACCGGGCAGCAGCAGCACCCGGCCCGGTTGACCCGGGGATGCCCCAGCTGCGCGCTCTTTCGGAGCGCCGAGCTGTTCAGGCCGCCCTTCCTCGTTTGCATTTGATTTCCGCT